AAAATAAAATTATATAAATTTTTTAAGTTTATTTTATTTTTTTTTTAAATTCTTGCTCTACAACGTATATGAAATGATTTTGCAAGCTAAATTATCTAGACTTGTACACACCTAAAAATAAAAATTTCATAAAAGGAAATTTTTAGTAATTGTGGCTGTTTTTGTAAATCGAGATTGATCAAGCATTTGGCCGATTCTTTTTAAGTACGGCGATGTCTTATAGTCAACATCTAAGTATTATAAATTAAAAATTGGAAAATCTATTGAGCATTAAGAGCATTCAGCTAATTTTTTTAAGTGTGGCGATGTCTGATATATCGACACCTGCATGCTCAATAAACCCAGAAAAAATCATTATAAAGGCTTTGCCTCAGCCAGAATGCACAACCTAAATCGCACTTGAAAAAAATTAGAAAATTATCAAAAATAAGTAATTTACCCAATTTTATAAAAAGATAGATAAACAATGGAAGAATTCTTATACGAAGTTCCATTCGACTATGAAGAAGTTTATGGTGACCTAAACCGGGAACCTAAAATTGATATTGGACAAACAGTGATAGATGATAGTCTCAAATTTGATTGGCATTCATTAGAAAAATTAAGAAAAATGTTAGCTAAATTGATTGAAGAATCAGACAATGAATCCTCTGAAAGTAATGCTGAATTCCTTGAGTGTGATAATGATGCTAAAACATCCAAGAAAGGATTTGAAATCCTGTTCCTTCTACATCTAAGAACAATATCACATTAGCACGTTGCATTGTCATTGACAATGATGATCAAAATATAATTCAAAGATGCGATGGCCTGGGTGATCGAAGTTGAAAATCATTAGCTGGCACATGGGAAATTGATTCTCAGGCTCTACAGAAAGTTGGAAATAATACTTCGAAGTTAAAAATTTGTATGCATCACCTAAACTATGACCAAAATGCAGTACACAAATCAGATTCAAAAACTACTATAAAGTCAGTACGGTCTACTGAAATAAGCACGATAGCTACATATCGCTGTCTATTTTGCAATAGATACAAATGCTTTGTTACAAGAGAAATAACATATATGTTACATACTTGGGAAGTAAGTAGACACACGATTCAGGCCCCATGCTGCGGATTGTTCAAATGCCCTGCAATAACTAATTATAATGGAATATCAAAAAAGTCGTTAAAAAATAATAATCTTCATTTTATTTGCACAAATTGCTTTGTAAAGCAAGGCAGTCACGTACCAATTCGAAAAAAAAATATCCATGTGCTTAGAAATGAAATAACATGACGATGATACTATGTTAGCTTTGAAATTTTATGACAAATGGATTAAACAGACTGCTGAAACTGAAATGAAGTCGCGAAAGTTAATTTATTAAATAAACTTGTAAAAATTCTTAGTAACATTAACACAAATAATACCAATACGTCCGATGCTCAGGATGTTGATATGGAGCCTTCTACCACTTCAGCTCCAAGTCTGTTTTTAATAAAAACCATATTTGCAATTAAAAAAATTAAAGTTAATGAAGAACAAATATTATCATTAAATACCACTACATGTGAAACTTTTTGAAAAATTCTTGCTAATTCTGTGCTGTGAAAACGATCTGAGCTTAAGAAGAGGTATCATCACTCGAAAAGCCTGAATCTCTAGAAGAATATTATAATGCCATGCCATCGCTTCTGATTAGTTTTTTTAGAGGCTTGATTTTAGCTATAAAAGAGAAAAAATACAAGTGTTGGCTAGAAAGCGAAGAGAAAGAAACATGCCTCCTCCACAAATTAAAGAAAAAAAATTATTCTACCTTCTCTTTTCTTCGCTTCTGTAATACTTACTACTGCTTTTAGTAATTGGAAAATATAGTTAACACATGTTCTCTCTTCTCTTTGTCGACGGCCAAAAATGATAGGATCTTTGTACAAAATTATCTATGAGGCCCGGATACTATCATATGTAAGAGATTATGAAGTATGAATCCAAAAAAAGAGAATATTCACTGCAGAACCTCAGAAAAGGCTTTTCAACACAAATCAAAATGTGTAGAACTTTGCAGCTATAGATAATATTGACATGAAAGATGCAACCTTCAAATATGGTAATATTTTTAATGCAGTCCGTAATACTGCACATGCCACAGTGAGAATGGTCTTTCAGTTTTAATGTCCGAATTTACCAGTTCGGACGAAGATTTAATAGAAAATTTCTCTCTTTTTGGTATAAGTCCTATTATAGAACAATAGCAAACAAAAATAGATATAATTTTTAATCAGTTAGTTGGTTAAGAGTCAACTTTCGGTATTGAACATATTAATGAAGCTATTAAAAAACATGTTGATTTGATGCAATTTGTAGCTCTCCTGAATGTTGTAATTCTTAAACCAGGAAAAGCTCCAAACAAAAATGAGCATGTTCACAGGGCCGCTGATATGTTTCTAGAGGATTTCGGTTATACAGAAGATGGTGTATTAAATTTAGTATGTGATGAAGCAATTTACCATTGTATGAAAAACTACAAAAATGAAGAACAAATGGTATACTGCATTCTGAGACAATGGTATACGAACAAGGCCATGTGTAATGCAATAATTTCTGCCTTTTCTGGCTATGGGCTTTTCGGGCTTGCTATGCAACTTAGTGTTAAGTTTCTTGATAAACTTGAAAAGGTTGCGGGCAACATTTCGAGTACTTGAGCTTCTTTGGATGGCCGTAGGTGTTGTGATTCATCAATAAGCTAAAGAAAAAAAGATCTCTATTAATAATATTTCTAAAGAAAACAACAATCTTTTAAAAGTGTGGTATATTTTTTACCAGTGGGCAGAGTACTTGAAATTGTACAAGCCTGGCATTCGGTTAGCAAACTTCGATCTACAAATGCATAGCTTAATGGCATTCGCACCTATATTTTATATTATAAGAAAATATAGATATGCCGAGTCTATAGCACGATTTATATCAGATTTCTGAAATAACCTACAATTTTTTAAAACTCTTTGAACAATACCTTTGAATAATTTAACACAGGAAGGGCATTGTTTTGGCATTGATGAGGCTCTAGAAATGTTCGGGGTAAAGTTTCTAAAAGAAAATATGACTGGTCTTGCAACAAATTTAGAAAATCTAAAGCTGAACATTAAAGCCACTCAAATAGAATATGATTGGCTTATGTTGCTAATTTCAGAATTTGCTGGTGATCAATCATTAAGCAGAAATCCACGATTCATTAAAGATCTTCAAGAAGCACTTTGGAATCTAATAAATAAACTTAAATCAGCATTTAGCAGTGAACAGCCAGAATTAACTCATTATTTGCAGAAACTACACAATTAACTGAAGATGGATACCGACGAATGTTTACCTGTTACGAATTAGGAATCAAAAAAATAAACGAAATTGCTGAGATAAGTACTTCTACACAAGCGAAGATAAAACTTAGCAAACAGCTTCTAGTACCTATGAAGGTGACAACAAATAAAAAGCGCGTAAGAACAGAAGCTGATCATACAGAAACACAGGAAGCAATCACCAGTTCTATACAAGTTTCGGAACAACATGATGGCATGGAAATTGAGATCAATGAAGACTTATCACCTCAAAGCAACATGAAAATTGAGATCAATGAAGACTTACCATTTCAAAAAAAATGTTCATCATATATGACTATAGATGCTGAAGAGCAAATTCTATCAGAACTTAAAGAATATAAAAATTCTACTTTCTTGCCTCGGGATGTTATTAAAGATCTGGTTGAAAAGTTGTCGGTTCATACTTCATATTGGGATCCAAAACAAATTTGTGATCGGTGGTATAACTGATATATAAGACCAAAAAAATGAATAAATAAATAAATGAATATTAATAATAAATATCAAAATTATTTAAAAAAAAAAATAATCTTTATAAATAAAGGTTGGTTATAAAATAAAACGTTTAATTCATATGATCTACTTATTGGTAAACCTGCATCCCGATTTTCTTCATTATGTTCATAATGCACCAGCCCTTAAAAGATGCATTTTGGAGAAAGCTCTCATGCTATTGCAACTAGTAAATTACTTTAAGTGTTATGAATTTGCAGCCTGAAAATTAATCAAGCAAAAGTATATAAAATAATTACCCACTTTCAAAGGTGTGGCATTTCATAAAGAAACATTTATTTGTTATATTATTTATATTGTTAGATTTGTAGAAACTTAAACAAAAGTTTTGTCTTAATAAACAGTACGTGCTTTGACTAAGGTTTTGAGCGATAAATTCAAAATTGTAAATTCGTCGATTTGTATAATTTATGAAAATCATATGATAAAATTTTAGATGTGACAAATCGTGTGACTGTTACTGTATTACCAGTCACACGGTATCAGTTATTGTATCATTTTTGTTAATAGCATAATTACTACAAACACATTTTAAAGGAGTACTAGCATTCACTGTTGTCTATTAAATAACGCAGAATTGTGTAGTAGATTAAAAGTGACTAGGAATGCTTTGTATAAGACTGCTTTATTTGCTATATTAAATAAACCTTTATTGTTATTAAATATTTAAATCTAGATAGATATAAATGTTATACGTCATTTTTAGATTCTGTCAATTAATATTTGACATATGTTGTTTTTCAATTAAAAAATGATATACGTCATTTTTTAAACAGTATAAAATTTACAAATTAAAAAAAAACTGTGGAAGTATTATTTGCATTAAATATTTAAAAGCTAATTTTATATACATTTAACTGAAAATATTCAAATTTATGCAAGAAATATTAAAATTTACTAATAGAACTAAAAATTTTTGCATTCTCCACATAAAACACATCCACAGCACCTTGAGTATAACAAATTTTTCTTTCTACAAGAGCAAGATTTAGTACCACAATTCGTTTTTCAGCAATTGCAAGAACCTGGGTGAGGTTTTTGACTTGAACCATTATTATTTGCAATGTTACTTCAATTCAAATTATATTAGTAAAATTTTAATTGAAATTCAAAATTTTTTTTATTTACTTACTTCGGAAATGTATAAGTTAAGCATTCTTCAGTTGAGCGTTCTTTTGTTGTGTATTCTTGAGTTAAGCATTCTTGTGTTGGATGTTTTTGAGTTGGGTGTTCTTGCATAGTATGACTTGTATAACTTGGGTGTTGAATATTATAAGTTTGACGTTCCTAAATATTATGGATTGGACATGTAATATTTTGCTTGGCACCTGTCTGTCTTAATGTAAGTATATTGTTTAAAGGGACCAGGAATGGTAAATGATCTGAAATGACATAGTGACTCAAATAAATAATGACTAGTTACTGATCATTTAAAAAGATGAAATGACCTGGTAGGTCATTTAAAATTTTATAGTATAGGCCACAGTTTCTTAACTGGTTATTTGAACAAAATTAACAATCGTGTTAATTTAAAATCTCATTTTTTTATTTGTATACACATTAAGATAGTTAAAACTCAACAATTCGAGTTTTACCCATGAGATCAGGTACACCAACAATTTTATATTACCATTACTGCTTTTTTATATTAAACCCTAAACTCTAAATTAATAAACATTATTCAAAACAATTCATACATACCAGCTATTTATTTATTCAATTACGCAAATTATTTACTTATATTTATTATTTATTTATGCAATAATGGAATTTTTATATGATTTCAAGATCAAAAATAATTGTATAATATCATTTTTCAATGAAAATATAAGACTATTATTGGAATATACTTGACAAACTTTTGATTCATTCCATGCAATTTAAATTATATCCATCACGGTGTCCTTAACTTTTATGACAAAATTAGTGTTTGATCGCTTGTTGCATAAATTTCAAAATATAGTAGCAGTAAAATCATCTCTGAGGCCACAAAGAGGTAATATGAATTATTTAAATTGTTAAAGCACAAAGAAAACAGAAGCTTCCAATAAATTATTGAATAATCCTAATAAACTCCATTTTGCCGATAAATCATCTGTGGAATGAGTTATACGTCCACTCAATTCAAATTCAAATTGTTTATTATTTGCACTTTCATTATCTAACTCCTTATCATTTAACATATTAACCCAGCCTTCAACTATGTGTGACCAAGTCTCTTTATTGAAAGTATCTGAATCATCAATCATATCCTCATTCATTTTAAAAGGTTTATTTGAATGAGTTTGTGGATTGGTTTGTGAATTGGTTTGTAAATTATCAGAAATCGATATAATGCTATCCTCACTATCACTTTTAGTGTGAAAGAAACATTCTGCTAATTTTTCTTGCACCTGATTCTCTTCACCACTATTATAAGCTTCACTTTCATTATAAGGTTGAATAAGAGTTGCAATACAAATTCGTTTATATTGTTTTTCGGCTTTCTCAGCTTCATTACACTTTCTTTTACTTAATATATCACTGTGCAATTGACTCATAGCTAGTACTTTGTTGCTTTTAAATTGATAATTAAAATTAGTAATATAAAGATAATAATAAATTAAATTAGAAATCACATTTGCAAACAATTTCAGCATTTTGTATGTAGATAACTCATAGTCAACCATAATCGCTCAACTAAAGCAGAATTAATGCAAATGCCAAAGAAATATAAAGCTAATTGAGATAATTTGGATGCCAAACTCTTTGCTGAATCCCAAAAATCAACGATATTTCCATCAAACTGATCAAATGTTTTATAATTAAAGGGAAATGCTTCTCTTTGATATAACAAAAATTCATGCAAAATATGTGTTGGTGGCTTACTAAACTATGCGTTGTAATGGTAGTTTAACCATTGACTGAAGTGTGAATAAGAAAGACCAGAAACATTAGAGAAAAATTTTAAGAGCTGATATTTTGGGTATAAAACAATTAATAGAAGAAGCAAGGGTTGTTCCCATTGTGCCTATCATTTTTCTAATCGAGCTACCATATGTTAAGAAAAATTCTCATCTTTACAATCTGCAAAAACTTTGATAAGCCAACCAAAGCAATGCGCAATTTCAAAAAGCCTTGCACTACTTTTTTGAAGTCTATTTAATATTCCACATAATGGAAATAATAAATCCTGAAGTTCATAAAGAATAGCCCAAAAATTAGAATCTTGTAATATTGATATAATGTCAGGTGAAAGTGCTTTGGCTTTATTAGTGTTTTCTGATGAAAACCGTTGCCATGTTCGTCCACTTCAGGAAGTACTTGCTGTCCCAATTCTCATAGGGGCAAATTTTGTAGCTAACATCTAATATAAGTAAAAATTACAGTGTTTCAAAATTAATAAAATATATATATCTTCTATTAATATTAAAATCATATTCCTGTATTTAATTCTAAAACTCTTAATATAATTTATTAGAATTGTTATACTTTATTAGAAAAAAATGTTTACTTTAAGTGCAGATTTAGTTTTTAAAATAGAATAGAAACTAAAATAAAAACTGTTCCAGCATGTTTCAGCAGGTGCTATGAGAGAAATAATTTGACAATAATCCAGTAAAATATGGAGAGGAGTGAAAATAGCTTATAATATATATTGCATTTTTAGATATTTTTTTATATGTATCAGATGCCTTGAAAATATCTCCTAAAATCAGATTGATGCATTATACACGGAATAAAAACTTTGTTAGGAAATTCAACTCTTAGTTGTCGCCAATAAGTAAAAAAATTTATACAAATAGAATGTCTATGATAAATATGAATATTAATTAATATGTAAATTTTAATTCTTACCTCACAGCCGCATAACTACTAGCAGAATCTGACATATAACAGTTAATTTTTATGTTTTGTTTTTCTGCATTATCTATTATATCTTTAATGAGGTGTTTTATATCTTCATTTCTTGATCGTTGGTCGCTAATATCATGTGCATTCCAAACCAAAGTTTCACCTTATGAAGTAATCAAAACTATACCAAAAAGATGCGCCTGCTTAATATTGGTCCATCCATCAAATGCTGCTGTTACTCCAATTTATCTGCATGTGCATGTTGTAAAATATCCTCAACTAACTTTTCTGAATATCTTAGAAGAATTCGATTACTTACTGCTCATCAATTAGGTAACTTTAAAGCTGATGCAATAAAGTTAAAAACCTCTTGTATCTCATTATTTTTTATGAAAATAAAAGGAAGACTATTTGATATAATTATACATAATATCAAGTTTTCAAAATGTGGTTTATCCTTTTCAGATAGTGGACGTGAAATGGATATATATATATTGAGTATGCGTATAAATTAACTATTGAGTATAGTATCATTGATTTTATCAGAGTATATATTTTGCTATACTCATATGATATTGCATATAATGATCATCATATTATTAGTATGTATGATGTATACATACAATTTTGCATTTACTATACCCATCCCTATGAAAAAATATATACGAAAATAATAAAGAAAATTACAAATAATATACAGAATATAATAGATATATACTGAATAA